CTTGGGGCCTTCTTGGGGCCGTCTTGGGCCGTCTTGGGCCGTCTTGGCGCCCTCTTGGGCCGTTTTGGGGCCCTCTTGGGGCTTCTTGGGGCGCTCTTAGGGGCCTCTTGGACAGTCTTGGGCGCCTCTTGGCCCGTCTTGAAGCCCTCTTGGGCTATTTTGGGGGCCTCTTGGAAACATCTTGGGCCGTCTTGGGGCGGTCTTGGGGGCCTCTTGGACCGTCTTCAACGCCATGAAAGGCGAAAAGCCGTATATGCTAGAACTGCATGTTTCCTTAAGAAAATCAATGATTTTGGCCTCGTGGGGCCCTCATGGGACGCCTCGTGGGCGCCTCCTGGGGCGTCGTGGAGGCCTCTTGGGACGTCTTGGGGCCGCCTTGGGCGGTCTTGGGCTCTCTTGGAGCGCTCTTGGGCCGTCGGCGCTTCTTGGGCCGTCTTGGGCACCTTCTTGGCCGCTTCTTGGGCTGTCTTAGGCGCCTCAGACGGCCCAAGAAGCGCCCAAGAAGCGTTTTCCGATGATGTCTCGAGCGAAACGCTGTTTTTAAGCCCCGAAGGCCGTCCTACTCGATAACAAACGAGGCGGGAGGGCAATTAGATCTCGGGCCCGCGGATGCCAACCCCCTCGAACTTCTCCAAATCCAATTTCTTCCGACTAACGGACCGCACGCTAACGCGCGCTTTCCGTCATCCGGGTCCGCGGATGCCAACCCCCTCGAACTCCCCCAAATCCAATTTCTTCCGACTAACGGACCGCACGCTAACGCGCGCTTTCCGTCATCCGGGCCCGGCGATGCCACCCCCCTCGAACTCCCCCAAATCCAATTTCTTCCGACTAACGGACCGCACGCTAACGCGCGCTTTCCGTCATCCGCTGCCCCCTGTCGATTCATCGCAGGGGTGCCTGGCGTGCTGGACCCTCTCGGTTTTGGTGTTGGTTCTTTTTCCAAAAGAACTCCCCCTGGGGCTTCGGCCCGTCCCGCCGGCCACCCGGAGGTGGTTGCCAACGGTTTTCCTTCCCCCAGACGGCCCCAAGATGGCTTCCAAGACGGCCAAGATGCCTCCAAGACGGCCAAGATGGCCTCCAAGACGGCTCAGATGGCCCCAAGATGCCTCCAAGACGGCCCAAGATGTACCCAAGACTGCCTAAGATAGCCTGAAGATGGTCCAAGACGGCTCAAGAGGCCCCCCAGAGGCCTCCAAGACGACCCAGGCCTCCAAGAGGTCCTCCAGGAGGGCCCGAAGAGGCCCAAATCACTGATGTTCCTAAGGTTTTTGAAGGATTTGGGCATTTGCTTCTTCTCGGCTTTCCGACGACCCAAGACGGCCCAAGAGGCCCCCAAGAAGGCCCCATGACGGCCCAAGTGGCCTCCAAGACGGCCCAGGGCCCCAAGACGGCCCAAGAGGCCTCCAACACGCCCAAGATGGCCTCCAAGACGCCCAAGATGGCCTCCAAGGCGGCCCCGAAGCGCCCCAAGAGGGCCCCAAGTCGGCCCAGAACGGCCCCCAAGACAGCTCCAGACGGCGTCAGACGTGCCAGGAACCCACCAAGAAGGCCGAAGTTGGCCCGAAGCTGGCCCAAGACGGCCCAAGAGGCCCCCAAGAGGGCCTCCAGGAAGGCCAGAAGAGGCCAAAAACATTGATTGTCCTACGGTTTTGGACGGATATTGAAATTTGCATCTTTTCGGCCTTCCGACGGCCCGAGACGGCCCAAGAGCTCCCAAAGATCGCCGAAAGATCGCCCAAGAGGCCTCCAAGATGGCCCCAGAACGGCCCAAGAGGACCCCAGGACGGCCCCAAGAGGCCCCCAAGACGGCACAGGAGGTCTTCAAGACGCCCAAGATGGCCTCCAAGACTGCCCTGGAGCATTCCAATAGGGCCCCAAGTCGGCCCAGAGAGGCCCCCCGAACGGCTTCCGACAGCGTCGGACGGACCAGGAGCCCACCAAGACGGCCGAACATGGCCCTAAGATGGCCCAAGACAGCCCAAGAGGCCTCCAAGAAGGCCTCCAGGAAGGCCCGAAAAGGCCAAACTCATTGATTTCCCATGGGTTTTTGAAGGATTGTGGCATTTGCTTTTTTCTGCCTTCCGACGGCCCGAGACGGCCCAAGTGCCCCCAAAGATCGCCCAAGAGGCCCAAGACACGGCCCCAAGAGGCCCTCAAGACGGCCCAAGGGGTCTCCAAGACGCTCAAGATGGCCTCCAAGACGGCCCAAGAGCCCTCCAGGACGTCCTCCAAGAAGGCCCGAAAGAGTCAAAGTGGCTTCCCGACGGCCAAGATGACCTTCAAGATGCCCACGTGTTCCCCGAAGGTTTTCCAAACCAATTCGGGGAACACATGGTCCTATAGCTTGGCAGGTCTGGCCTCAACGTTCGGCCACATAGGCGCTTCCAAAAAGGCAGGCGGCGGCGGTGATTCGCCGTAGGCGTCTTCGATCCGCCGCCCCCTGTCGATTCATCGCAGGGGTGCCTGGCGTGCTAGACACTTTCGGTTTTGGTTTCGGTTCTTTTTCCAAAAGAACTCCCCCTGGGGCCTCGGCCCGTCCCGCCGGCCACCTGAAAGGATGCCGAAAGATTGCCCAGAGATGGCCCAAGATGGCCTCCAAGACGGCCAAGATAGTCTCCAAGACGGCTAAGATGGCCCCAAGATGCCTCCAAGACAGCCTTAGATGCACCCAAGACGGCCTAAGATGGCCCAAAACGGCCCAAGAGGCTCCCAAGAAGCCTCCAAGACGGCCCAGGAGGCCTCCAAGAGGGCCTCCAGGAAAGCCAGAAGAGGCCCAAATCACTGATGTTCCTAAAGTTTTTGAAGAATTTTGGTATTTGCGCCTTTTCGGCTTTCCGACGGCCCAAGATGCCCCCAAGAGGCCCCCAAGGTCGCCCCAAGATCGCCCAAGAGGCCTCCAAGATGGCCCCATGACGGCCCAAGAGGCCCCCAAGACGGCCCCAAGAGGGCCTCAAGGCGGCCCAAGAGGCCTAGAAAACGCCCAAGATAAGATGGCCTCTAAGACGGTCCTGGAGCAGTCCAAGAGGGCCCCAAGTCGGCCCAGAGAGGCCCCCCAAACGGCTTCCGACAGCGTCTGACGGGCCAGGAGCCCACCAAGGACGAAGTTGGCCCGAAGCTGGCCCAAGACGGCCCAAGAGGCCCCCAAGAGGGCCTCCAGGAAGGCCCGAAAAGTTCCAAAACATTATGTTTACATAACGGATTATGATATTTACTTCTTTTCGTTCTTCCCACGGCCCGAGACGGCCCAAGAGCTCCCAAAGATCACCCACATATCGCCCAAGAGGCCTCCAAGATGGCCCCGTGACGGCCGACGAGACCCCCAAGACGGCCCCAAGAGGCCCCCAAGACGGCACAAGAGGCCTTCAAGACGCCCAAGATGGCCTCCAAGACTGCCCTGGAGCATTCCGAGAGGGCCCCAAGTCGGCCCAGAGAGGCACCCCGAACGACTTCCGACGGCGTCGGACGGGCCAGGAGCCCACCAAAACAGCCGAAGATGGCCCATGGCCCAAGAGGCCTCCACGAGGGCCTCCGGGAAGGTCCGGACAAAATCATTGATTTCCCATGGGTTTTCGAAGGATTGTGGCATTTGCTTTTTGTTGGCCTTCCGACGGCCCGAGATGGCCCAAGTGCCCCAAAAGATCTCCCAAGAGGCCCAAGACGGCCCCAAGAGGCCCCCAAGAGGCCCCCAAGACTGCCCAAGAGGCCTCCAAGACGCTCAAGATGGCCTCCAAGACGGCCCAAGAGCCCTCCAGGACGTCCTCCAAGAAGGTCCGAAAGGGTCAAAGTGGCTTCCCGACCGGCCAAGATGACCTTCAAGATGCCCGCGTGTTCCCCGAAGGCTTGCCAAACCGATTCGGGGAACACATGGTCCGATAGCTTGGCAGGTCCGGCCTCAACGTTCGGCCACATACAGTCGGGGCGTTGACCTAAGGAACCTTAAATAAGGAACGAGGCCCCTTTTTTCCAGAAGTTCAATGTCGATTTCCTGTCGAAAACATCAGGAAAGCCTGAGGCAATCTGTGACACACGTAAGGAACGCGGAGCCCCTCCCCAACGAGAAGGGTTCCTTCTTCAGGGCCCCGACTGTAGGCGCTTCAAAAAAGGCAGGGGGGCGGCGGTGATTCGCCGTAGGCGTCTTCGATGGGCGATCGGAGGCCCGCGCGGGCTTCTCGGATGGGCGCTGGACCCCGCCCTGGCGCGCGGAGCGCCCCGGAGGCGGCGTTGGAGGCGCCGCCGGGGGTGCCCCCCAGCGCCGTTCCAGGAAGGCTGCGCGGCCCTCCGAAGGGTCATGCTCGTGCCGTTCTCTCCCCTCTTTCGTGGAGCAAGGAGGTCCCTTTTTTGCATCATTCGCGACAACGGGCGTGATCGGGGGATGGGGGGGAGTTCGTCCCCCCCGATCACATCACGGCGGGAGGCCGCTGCAAATCTCAGGAAATCCTCGAAGAATCCGCAGAACATCCGTGCCACATGTGGGCCACATAGCGGGACGTGATTGGGGAGGGAGGGAGGGAGAGGGAGAGGACCGATCACGGCCGTGATCGCCCAGACCCGAAACAAAAACATGCGCAAGCGGGGGTGGATGGGGGAGTGGAGGACAGGGGACGCGGCAGAGGCGACGGGCGTCGGACAAAAAAAAAAGCGAACACGCATGCAGCACCCATCGGTCAAACGCATCCCTTTCTCTCCAGTGTTCAGGGCTGGCGGTGGGCCTGAGGAGTTGCACTTCGACCGCGGTCTCCCCCCCGCGCGCGCCAGCTTTGAGCTTGGGGGAGCGGGGGAGCATCCACTAATTCTAGGTTCGGCATGTCCTCCTACAGGGGAGTTTGGATGACAAACGAGAAGTAGTCAACAAATGATCAGAAAGAGTAGAAGAATCTTCCCCAGATTGTTCTTTGACCACCTTTTAATACTCTTCCTGCCAGATGACACGGGGAGACGGAGAGGAGGAGCAACTGGGACAGGGCCGCGCGCCCCTTGGGGGGGCCGGAGCGCGCCGCCTCCCTGCGTGATGCCAGACCCGGTGAGCAGGTCCCCCAGGAGCTCCATGGGATCCTGCCGCGCCCCCTCTCCACGAGGAGGAGAAGGTACAGTAGGAGGGGAGGGGGTCCTCCTCGTCCTCCTCCTCTTCGTCCTCCTCCTCGTCATCCTCCACCTCTTCCTCTTCATCCTCCTCCTCGCCCTCCACCACCTCATCCTCCGTCAATGCCCAACATCAAATGTTGTCCAAAACCGACAGCGGCCGCTGTCGGGCAGGCGGGTCTGCGGCGCGCGAACAGCGTGCCCTTTTTAAAATGAACGGGAACTGCTTTTGGGCAATGGACCCATTCTTTCCGTACCCATTTCGATCGTCCCGAACAGTAGGAGCTCGACCACAAGAACCCTACCACAAGAAACCCAAGCCTGAGACCCCAGGACGTCCATGGGTTTTTGGCGTGGACTCGTCACGATTTCCACAGCAAAAGCCATCGAAACCCAGGAAAACCAGGGCACCCTGGAGGCAAGCTGGGTGTTTCTTGGCCTGGGTCTCCACTGTGCCGATGCCGCTGCCCTTCCTTCGTTTTCACCGTCCTCTCGGGTGTTGCCAGAGGTGCCCCTGGCCCAAGGTACCCCCAGGATCTCCAGCGAGGCCCCCACGGCCTCCAGAGCCGCCCCTCACGAGGCCCCGAGGGCCCCGGAGGTGCCAAGATGGAGCGGAGAGCTGGGGGAACCTTGGGCTAGGGGCACCGTCAGCAACCCCCGAGTCTTGGGCCTCCTGGGAGTCCCTCGTCGCCACCGCCGCATTCGCCTCGAAGTTCTGATCAGAACGACCCCCGGAGCAGGGTCCGGGGAGCAGCGGTATGGGTACCTTGTGGTTCCCTCACCCTCCTCCGCCTCCGCCCTCGAGGACCGACGCTCGAGCCGAGAGGATCGAAGCTCGGGCACCGAGGGGGTCGCCGTCGCTGCGGCTGGATCCGCCTCGAGGCTGAAAGGGGGCAACTCTTGGCGTCGTGAGCCTCCCCTCGCTTGGCCATCGCTGCTCCCGTTCACGTCTACACCATCGCTCCCACACCCGCTCTCGTGCCCATCCCCGTCCACATCGCCACCCCAGAAACCCAACCCCAAGACGCCACCTCCTCCTCCCCCTCACCCCGGGACAGGCCCACCTCCCAGACGCATTCGCGGCCCCGTGTTTTTTTTTTCTGCGACTCCTCTCAACCCGGGCCCAGTCCACACACCGAGACGGGCACTCAGAGATCTTGGAAGCGCACGTTTCCAGACATGCGCCTCCCCTGGCACACACTTCCACATTACCACATGTCGATTCGCTCGCTCCCTCCACTCCATCTTGCCCCTCTCCACTCATCGCCCCCTCTCTCCTCCCCCTCTACGCTGCCCATTCCACACTACCCCCTCCTCGTTCTGCAGGGACCCGCACTGATACCCTCACGCAAATTGGTGGCGAGACGTGGGAGGCAGGGCTGCGGGGCGCACTCTCCTGAGAAGGGCCCCTGCCAGAAGGTGAAAGGTGCACGTTTTGACGGAAGGCTGCCCGAACCGAGCAAGGCCGTCTCGAGAGGAGCTCAGACCTTAGCGGTGGCATGCGCCGATTCTTCCCCATGAGCCTTTGCTTTCTTGGAGGTGATACAGTGCGAGTCCGCTGGCCTTTTTCCCCGAATGAGGCTCCGCCACTAGAGGGTTCTTGACTGTGTTGCGAAGAACCTGTAGATGCCACCCTCGATTCCCTGGTCTTGTTTCCTTTAGCCGTGTCTCGGGTTGCCCCGGGCAGCCTCAGCAACTCGAGCAACGCGTCGGCCTGGTCTTGTTCCTTGGGTTCCCAGCGATACCAAGCAATCGCAAGCAATGCCAACCAATACCAAGCACTGCCAAGCATTGCCAACGAATACCACTCACTGTCGCCACACACTGCCAAGCAATACCAAGCAAATCAATACCAGGCAATGCCAAGGAATGCCAAGCACTGCGAAACAATGCCAAACAATGCCAAGCAGCGCACGTGGCGTGCCAACCACCACCAAACATTACCAAGCAATGCCAAGGCAAGCAAAGCCTAACAATGCCAAGCATGTCAAACGATATCAAGCAGTGCCAGCAAAGCAAAGCGATGCCAAGCAACGAGTCCACGCAACATAATTAAGCAACATCAAACAATGCCAAACAACGCTGAACAATGCTTATTGATGCATTGCATTGCATTGCTCAGACCTGTTTTTGAATTGCTGTGGGCGAAAGAAGATCCATGCTTGGGCTCGCGCCAGGTTCAGTTCCCTGAGCAAGATGCGGACTTTGATAGCCTTTTGCCTCGACGCTCATGTGCGCGTGCGCACAGCTCTGTTTTCCCCATGAAGGGACAGTTGTGGCACGCTGGAAAAGAAAACACGCCTGCCATGGCGCCTCGCTGCTACTGTTCCGGCGCCCTTGCAGCGGTTCCTCAGCACAGAAGGAAAACACGCGCACTCCGTGCTGCACGCCGCCGGGGGGGGGGCCCAGCCGGGATGCCCGCGCAGACTGGGCGCAGGGAGTCCGAAAGCTCGCGCCGCCTGGGCCGTGCAGTCCTCGATTCCCTCGATCCTTCCTCGATCCTCGACCCTCGATCCTCGGTCTTCCTCGGTCTTCCTCGGTCCTCGATCCGTCCTCGATCCGTCCTCGATCCTCGATCCTCGATTCCTCGGTTTTCCTCGGTGTTCCTCGGCCCTCTTCGATCCTCCTCGATCCTCGATCCTCGATCTGTGTGCTGCCACGAGGGACGCCGACTCGGGAACGACGTGGCCTCTTCCCGGCCACGGCGCGCCTCGTGCTCGGGACAGGGTTCCCCGAACAAGATCTCAGCCAGCGGCCCGAGAAGCAGAGCCTCTCTATGATTTGGACGCCCGAGGTGGGTACGGCAGGTCCGTGTCGTGACGACCCCAGCGTTGGTTTTTGACACCGCAGGGATCGTTCAGCCTTGAACGATCGGCCGCTGCCGCAACGTCCGATCGTTCAACATCGATCGATTCTGGGTCGCCGGCGGCGTTCAACCTTGAACGCCCGCGCTGGGGTCGCCGCTGGTCTACACGACGCAAACCTACCGTACGGAAGAACTGGGCACGATGCCCAACGGCAAGTGTGGTCCAATACCGACAGCGGCCGCTGCCGGGCAGGCGGCTTCTTGTCCCCACGGGGCAGCGTCCGCGGGAGAAGAGGGCACAACCATAAACCTTTGGCGCTCCGCGCGGATTTCTTGGATCTGCGCTGACCCCCCGGGGCGGTGCTTGAGGTGCTGCCAGGGGGGAGGAGGGAGGAGGGAGGAGGGAAGAGGAGGCAGGAGGCCCAGCGCGGATCCAAGAAACCCACGCGGAGCGCCAAAAGTGTGTGTGTGTGTGTGTGTGTGTGTGTGTGTGTGTGTCCATCGCGTTTTTTTCCTCCTCGAGGAGCGGCCCAAAAACGAGAGCCGCACGTGGCCCCGATGTCCTTTGGGATCGACTGGCCAGGGCCAATCCAAACTCGGGTCAGTCAGGCCTTGCAAGATCCTGCAAGCTGCCGCGGGATCCTGCGGGATCATGCGCCCTACAATCGGTATTGATTGGACAGGACACGCGAGAGGACACACGACCCTTCCGAGGGCCGCGTTGTCATAGGAATATAAGAAGGCATGGGTCGCGAAGCTCAGGACACAAGGGTAGGCTTGAGTTGGCAGGGGCGACCTACTAACATCAGTCTCGACTGTAACCCAGGTCAGTGCGCCCCTGGCCCTGCAGGATCCTGCAGGAGACCCGGCGCTCTGGCTGACCCCCTGAGCATCGTTTATCCGACCCCCATCCCTAGCGGCGTGGCCTGGGCCCCACTGGCCGATTTACCCCCTAGATGGGGATATAGGCCGCTCCCTTTGGGTTTCGAGGGGTGTATCCCCAACTGGGTGGTAACCTGGTGGGGGTCTCGAAGGGGATGAGGATGGGGATGGGGGTCGGTTGAACGATACTTACCCCCGTTTGCATGGACCCCCGTCTCTGGGGCCCCGACTTCAGCGCCTTGGCGGTGCACCTGCGACAGCAGTCGGGACGGAGAGAAGCCGGGCTCTCCGGGCCGCGCGCCGCATCGCCAGGGTGCATGTCGGCGAGTGCGGCGAGGCATCCCCCGACCCAGCTGCACGGGCTCGTCTTTTGGGGGAGGAGCCCGGTGGACAGAAGACAGGCCAAACGGATACTTAGGAGGGGCAACTACTGGGAGGTCTTCGTGTCGGAAGGCATTAGGAGGATTGAGCCCAATTGCGGGGCTGCTGCGCCGGATTGGCCCGCGGGTTAAGCCGGATAAAATGGGATTAAGCCGGATTGAGCGGGATCAAACCAGACTAAAGACCAGGGCAAAGCCAGAATTTAACCTCCCAGGAGTTGCATCCGAAGGATAGGAAGGATGCGCGACAAGCTTTGCCAGGGCCCTTGAAGGCCATGGCTGCACTCTTCGAGCAGGGCACGGCCCCACGACACAGCAGCGAACAACGGAACGAAAGAACAACGACAGACGAAGCAAAACACAATACAAGGGCCCAGACCAAGCTAAACAGCGTTGTTGTCGATCCCTGTGCTGCCCCTTCTCCTTGCAGATAACTCCTCCCTGTCGCGCCCCGAGGCCCGTCGAAATGGCGGGCCTGGCGTTTCGCCTGGGACTTCCTCACCATTTACGGCACATTCGCGTCGTGTCGACCCCGGCGTTGGTTCCTGACACCGCGGAGATCGTTCAAACTTGAACGATCGGACGTTCCGTGAACGCCAGATCGTTGAACGACGGGCCGATTCTGGGCCACGGGCGGCGTTCAACCTTGAACGCATGCGCTGGGGTCGCCGCTGGTCGGCACGATGCGAACCTGTCGTATGAGCCTGAAGCGGAAAAGCTGGCAACAGTTTCACAGATGGCGGGCGGACCGTTTTCAACATGTGGCTCTCGCCTGAGCGTTAGGTCGGGCATGCCCCCCTACAGGCGGATTTTGAACGAAAAACCTAAACTAGAAGAAATGTTATAAAATACGCAACGAATAATCGAATCATCGTCCACAGACTGTTTTATTATTCTTATTTTGGAATCTTCCTCCTGCAGAGGGACGTGCCCGACTTCACCTTTGCGCCGCTCCTGGAGCGAGAGGGGGCGGGAGTTTCGAGGGTGGTCAAGATGGGGGCGTCCAAGAGGGGGGCGCAAATCATGGCCGGCGGCACGTGTGCGGCCCAGGGGGGCGGCCACGGACACACCGAAAAAAGAAGAGGCGCCATGAAATCAGAGGAAATATCATGGCCCACGCCACGATACCCCCCCCTCTTGCCATCGCTCGGACGTCCATTCCTCGCGTATCTTTCGATTTCGTGCGTGCCTTTTTCGCTAAGTCATCCAGGATTCTCCTCCATTCCATGGTCCTCGCCGAGGAAAGAATGCACACGTCCGAGCGATGCCAAGCCTTAGTCCTCGCCTCCTCTTTCAAGGGGCCCCAGGACACACAAATCAATACGCACAAATGAAGGACTCCCCATATTTTCTGAGCTTTCGTCTTCCCCCCCCACTTCCCAGATTTCCCCTATTTTTTCCTGGGGCTCGACGATTGGTTGTGCCTTGTGCCCGTGTGTTTTTTCTCCTCGCCCCCTCCTGGCCGCCCCCGATGCCTCCCCCGATCGAGGCGCCCCGCCGCGCGGCCCGGCCCGGTGGGAGGGAAGACCGCGCGCGAGCCGGCCGCGCGTTCCGAAGGCAGGGCCCGGGCGCCTCACAGGAAGATGGCGTCCCCGCCCTCCCTGGCAGGAGGGGCGCCCGCCACACCCCCGCACCGATCCTGGCCAGGCCTCATGCTAAGTCGGGCCTGTCCCCCTACAAGGGGGATTTCCGACGGAAACATGAAAACAAAAATACACCACAAATTGTCAAAAAATAGTCCAAACATAGTCTGGAGATCTTTTTTTGTGCATCTGTTGATTCTTCGGGGTACTTTTGGTGTATCTTTTATCTTTCGTCGAAAATCCCCCTGTAGGGGGGGACACGCCCGACATAAGCCTCATGCTGCTCCGAGCGCACTCGAGGACCAAAATCCAGGGGGCACGAAGAGTGGTAGAAGCATAAAAAAACCTCGGAGGTCCGCGCGGACTGCTCGGATCCGCGCTGGAGCCCCCTCTCCCTGGCGCGCGGAGCGCGCCAGGGGCGGCGCCGGAGGCACCGCCAAGAGGGTCCCAGCGCCGATCCGAGAAATCCGCGCGGACCTCCGAGTTATCATATTTATGTCATTGTCCGCTACACGAGGACCAAATCCCAGAAATAATTTCGAGCACCTAGAGAAGCAGTGTCGAGCGGGTGTCGCCTCACAGGGCCCGACACGCGAAAGCCCTCAAGTTTCGGTACATTCTTGGTGCTCGATTTTTTTCTGGTGATCAAGGCTAAAGTAGGTTGGAACATCATAAGACAGACCCACTCGAGCGAGGATTCCGAGGCCATCCGCCTTCGCTCGAAGAAGCAAAAGCGCCCACAAACCGAAACTGTTGGCGCCCTGCGCGGATTCCCTGGATCCGGGCTGAACCCCCCCTCCCTGGCGCGCGGAGCCCGCCAGGGGCGGCGCCGGAGGCGCCGCCGGGGGGGGCGGGGAGCCAGCGCGAATACAAGAAATCCGCGCGGAGCGCCGAAAGTTTCAGTTTATGGCGTTTCTCTTCTTCGGCTCGCGCACCGCGCCCCGCCATGCGCGGCTGTCTTCGCGCCCCTCGCGCCGCCCCCCTGAGGACGGGCAGGCCTCCCCCCCTCCAGACCGCGGCGCGCAGAGCGCGATGCGCTTGGTGCCCCCGCGGGCCAAGATCGGCGTGGCCGTAAGTCGGGCCTGTCCTCCTACGGGGGGATTTTGGACGAAAAAGAAGATACCCCAAAATTGTCAAAAACATACAAAAAGTAGTCCCCAGACTGTTTTTGGACTATGCTTGAATATTCCCCCTGTGGAGGAGAGGGACAGGCCCGACTTAAGCGTGGCCAGGATCGATGTGGGTGTATCGTTGAGCGCCCTCCGACCTGAGCACCTTCACCACGGCGGGAAACGCGAACCACTCGGGGATTTCGTCGCCCGATCGCAGGCGCTTGCGAAACTCGGTCCCAGAGAGCTTTGCGATCTTGAGGTTGCTGGCCTTGGCCGCGGACTCCGTGGCGTAGCCACGCGCATTGCCGTGCTCCTCGCCAACGTAAACCATGTTCTCGTAGCTCACCACCTTCATGAAGAGCTCGCCCTCATGCTTCTTGCCATTCTCCTGGGCATCGAACGCCCCGTAGAAATCTTTGGACGTCAGGGTGCTCTTGGTGCCCGCCATGTCACGGCCGATGATGAAGTGGGTTGCGCCGAAATTCTTGCGGATGATCATGTGCTGGATCGCCTCGCGGGGCCCTGCCATCTTCATCGAGTAGGGCAGATACGACCACCGCCACTTGTCCCCCGCCCACTTCTTGTAGAAAGGCTCATCCTGCATCACCTCATAAGTCTTGATCCGGGCAGCGCCGTCGATGTCTCCCGGCTGCGTGGGCCCGCACGTCGGGTGCACAAACAGCACGGAATCCTTGACGTCCTCCTGCGCGGCCACGAGGAGCTCGAAATGAGCCTTGTGGACCGGGTTGCGGTTCTGGAAGGCCACCACGGGCTTCCCCGCCGGCAAAGTCGCCCGTACGGCCGCGGGGCTTTTGAAGCCGGGGCCCCAGATACCCTCGAAGTCCTCGATCAGCCCGTAGACCTCTCCAGCGGCGTAGTACTTGCCGAGGGTCTCGAAGAGCTCCTGCACGGTCGGGTGCTCTGTGGAGCTGGTCCCGTAGCACTCCGCGGCCTCCTTTACCTTGTTGGGCTTGTACACGTCCGCGACGTCCATCACCGCCATTCCGGTTCCCTTGTACTTGAGCAAAACCTTCTTGCCCTTGTAGGTAGTATCCGGGACGTCCAGCACGACCGGCATACCAAACAGCACGCCCGCAGTCGTCTTCATGTCGCTAACAACGCCTTTATAGTCGGCCTCGCTCATGAAGCCTGTCAGCGGCGAGAAGCCACCCGTGATCAGCAGGGCGACATCGCATGCCTGCCGCTCCGACAGCTCCATGACGGCCGCAACTTCTTTTTCGAGGGAGGCTCTCTTGGCGGCATCTGTGACGTACGTGTTTACCAGGACGCCCTTGTGAGGCTTGCCAGGCCCCTCGCAGACACCGGTCTTGGCGTCGCAGACCTCGTCTCCTTGAGACCAGGCGGCCATCAGGCCGCTCGCTACGATCAAAAGACGCAGCATGGCGGCGAGAGCTCTGATTGGCTTGCCGAACTCCAGAGGTGATCATCATGAGGCGAGACAGATGTGGGGATAAGGGTGAGAGATGAGGGAAAGAGGAAATGAGCTGCAGTCGGATTCTAAAAGAAGGGCGAGTGTAAGGACGCCGGACCCTTACAACGCACCCCGCAGAAGGGGGAAGGAGCAGGGGGCACGGAGGAGGGGAAGAGGGACTTCAAAATGGCTGACGAAGAGTTGCGAAAATACCCGACGAAACCTAATCAGCGTCTGGAGGGCCCGTGGTGTGGCTGTCTTCCGTGATGCCTATCCTACGTAGGGCCTAAGCCTTGGCCATACGCCCCCTTCTGGGCGGGCCTAGTGACCTCGGACTTCTTCAAGCGCGCCGGCGAAACGGCGCGGGGAATCGGCCAGCTCCTCGAGCCAAGGCGGCGCTGGCGGGAAGGATCCCCCCCCGTCTCCTTCCCCTCCTCTCCTAGCCCCCCTCCCTCCACTCCGACTTCTCCTCCTCGACCCCCCCCCTTCGCTCCTTCCCTCAGCGCTCGCTCTGGCTCTCATATTGCTTGCGGTTGCGGGGTGCCGCATGGCTCAAATTCACACCCTTGTACCGCATCCGCAGTCATGTTCTTATTCTTCTTATCAGCATTCGTGGGAGTGTCTCTTGTGAACCGAAGAGATCCACTTCTGGCTCTTTGACGCTGGCTGGGAAAACGTCAACTTGCCTCCCCTCTCGCTCGCAGAAGCCGGGGGGCGGGGGAGTCCTCCCCCCTCCCATGGGACTTCAGGCCCAGCCGATCCCTATCCCCATGGGCATGGCCTCGGCCCCAGTGGCGGACTTACCCCCGAGGGTGGGGACACACTCACACACATCTATAGATACATGTCCATAGGTGTATATGTGTGTATACATATATATATATATATATATAGATATACTAGAACCACGCGCGCGCTTTGCGCGCGCCTAGGTTCCAGTCAGAGCTGATTCAGGGCTGCCCGCCACCACGGTGAACTCCAGCACGCTGCATCTCTGACGAGCTCGGTCGGGACCGCGAAATTATCATACACTGCTTCCGTCGCCAGCATTGGTCTCAACCACGCAGCTTCGCGCTCGCTTAGGTTATACCGCAAACGTACCCGATTGTAAACTCGATTTTGGACGATGCGGCGACGACGACGGCAGCCGGAGGCGCGTCGCGGCGATCTCGAAGGGCGCCCACGAGGCCTCCAGAGCCGTCCCGGGCACCTTTTGGGCCGTCCCGGCGCCCGCTTGAGAGCCTTTGAGGCCGTTTTGGGGCGATACTTGCGGCTTCCTGGGCCGTCTTGCAGCGTCTCCAGGCCGAAAAAGTAAGAACTCTCAAACCCTTCAAAACTGAAAAGGACAATCCATCACTTGTGCCTCTTGAGCGCCTCTTGGGAGGCCTGTTGGTGGCGTCTTGTAGCGTCTTGGGGGCCTCTTAGGCCGTCTCGAAGCCATCGTCCGCGTCTTGGAGCAGGATTTCGGCGATTCTCGGCCCTCATGGGGCGTTTTGGGGCCACTTGGAGCCCTGGCGTCCTGTTTTGGGGCTGTCTTGGGCCGTCTGGGGGCGTCCCCGGAGGCCCTGGATCCCCATAGAGCGGCGCCCGCTTGGGGGCCGCCGAAGGCGCGCTGGGGCGATACTTGAGGCGTCTAGGACCGTGTTGGGGCGTCTGGACGCTGAAAATGCGCTAAGGCAAATTACGCTAAGGCAAATTACGGGATTTTGCCTCTTGGGGCCCTCGTGGGAGGCCTCGTGAGTTCTCTTGCGGTGTGTTGGAGGTTCCTTGGGCCGTCCGGAAGCCATCGCGGGAGTCTTGGAGCGGGATTTCGGCGATTCTCGTCCCTCTTGAATTGTTATGTTCAAACCTACTTTTAGACTTGATCGCCAGGAAGAATTTCGAGCACCAAAAAACCACTGAAACGAGAAGGTTTTCACGTGTCGGGCACTGGGAGGTGATACTCGTTCGACACTGTTTCGCTACTTTTTCTGGGTGTTCGAAATCATTTTTGGGATTTGGTCCTCAAGTGCAATGGGAGCAACATCGCTCTTGGAGCGTTTTGGGCCTCTGGGAACCCTGGTGTCCTGTTTGGGTTGCTGTCTTGGGCCGTCTGGGGGCGTCCCAGGAAATCTGGGATCCCCATAGAGCGCCTTCGTCGGCTGTCTTGGTGCCCGCTTCAGGACTTCTGAGGCCGTGCTTGGGGCGTCTAGGACCGCGTTGGGGTGTCTGGAAGCTGGAAGTACAGAGACGCTAGAATCAAACAACAAAACGCAGGAATACCATTTAATTTTGCATATTGCGGACCTTTTGGGAGACCTCTAGGGGGCCTCTTGGGGGTCTCGGAGGCCTTTGGAGTCGTCCAGAAAACATCGTGGGCGTCTTGGAACGGGATTTCGGCGACTCTCGGTTCTCTTGAAGCGTTTTGGAGCCTCTGGCAACCCTGGTGTTCTGTTTTGGGGACTGTCTTGGGCCGTCTGGGGGCGCCCCCAGAAGCCGGCTGTCTCGGCGCCCACGTGGGGGCTTCTGAGGCCGTGCCGGGGCGATACTTGAGGCGTCTAGGTCCGCGTTTGAAAATGCAGAAACGCTAGAATCAAACAAAAACCCAAGGATAAACACTGAATGCTGCCTCTTGGAACCCTCTTCGGAGGCCCTTCGGTGCCTTCTTGGGGCGTCTTGGAGGCCTCTTGGGCCGTCCGGAAAACATCGTGGGCGTTTTGGAACGAGATTTCGGCGATTTTCGTCCCTCTTGGAGCGCTTCGGGGCCTCTGGGAACCCTGGTGCCCTGTTTTAGGGGTTGTCTTTGGCCGCGCGGGGGCGTCTCCGGAGGCCCGCTCCCCCTTATGCCCTGGGGAGGCCCCTGGACGCAGCTAGGGGGCCTCGTCCGCGGGGACATTTATATATATCTCTCTCTCTATATATATCTCTCTCTTTCTATATATATGTATAGCTATATATATACATATATAGAACCATCGCGCGCGCTTCGCGCGCGCTTTGGTTCTAGCCGAGGCCTTGGACAATTCGAATCAAACTTCGTCGAAACGCGTCCGAGCACAAGGTCGACGGAAGACTCGAACAAACATAACAGAGCTCGTTCTTAGCGCTCGCGCTTCTTAGGAGAAAGGGGGAGGAGTGGAGGAGGAGGAAGCAGCGGAAGAGGAGGAGGGAGGAGGAGGAGGAGGGAGGAGGAGAAATGGGAGAGAGAAAGGGGGAGTGGAGGAGGAGGAGGGAGGGGGAGTGGGGGAGGAAGAGGAGGGAAGGGACGCAGGGAGGGAGGAGGAGGATCCCGGATTTTGGATGTGCTTCTGGCACCGACGTTCACCACGAGATGTAACGACTCATGCCGCTCACACTTGCACTGAGCTGGCGTGAGCCCGCCGACCACTTGTGGGTCTCTTGGCGTCTCAGAACCTTCCCCTCCATAAACCCCCGCTGGGTTTGGCCTATTGGGGGGATCTCTTAGGGGCCTCTTGGAGACTCTTAGGGGCTTCCAGGAGCCTCCTGGGAACTTCTTGGGGCGGAAGGGTCGGATTTTCGGTTCGGGCTCCCCCTCTTGGGCTCCTCTTGGAGCTCTCCCAAGTCGTATTGGGGACCTCTTGGGGTGTCTTGGCCCCCTCTCGGGACGTCTTTGGAGCCTCTTGGGCCGTTTTGGGACTCTCTTGGGGGCCTCTTGTACCGTCGTCACCGCTGTGAAGACCGACAATTCGTAAATGCTAAGAAAATACGCTTTTCCCATGCAGGATCAATGGCTTTGGCCTCTTGGGACCCTGTTGGAATGCCTCTTGGGGGCCTCTTGGAGCTCTCTTGGGCACTGTGAGAACCGCCGTGGGCGTCCAAGGACTAGCTTTGAGCGCTCCAGGGCCGCCATGGAACGTTTTGGGAGCCTCAGGGGGCCCTCTGGCCACGCCTTGGCCGCCCCTCGGGCTGTCTTGGGCCGCGTTGGTAGCCTCTAAAAGGCCGTCTTTGGGGCCTCTTGTGCCGTCGTGCACGCCGTGAAGACCGAAAAGTCGCAGATGTTTAAAATGCATGTTTTCCTGTGCAAAAGCAATGATTTGCCAGCTTGGGGCTCTCTTGGAAAGCCCCTGGGGGCATCGTAGCGGCCTCTTGGGCTCTATGGGAGCCATCTTGGGCGTCCAGGAGCAATCCTTGAAAGCCCTGGGGCCGTCTTGGACCGATTTGGGAGCCTCTTGGGGCTCCGTGGACACGTCTTGGCCGCCTCTTGAACACGCCTTGGCCGCCTCTGCGGCTGTCTTGGGTTTCTCTTGGGCCGTGTTGGGTGCCTCTTGGGCCGTCTTGGGGCCGTCTTTGGGGCCTCTTATACCGTCGTGCGCGCCGTGAAGACCGAAAAGACGTAGATGCTAAAAATGCACGTTCCTATGCAACATCAATGATGTTGGGCGCTTAGGGCTCCCTTGGAAAGCCTCTGGGGGCGTCGTAGCGGCCTCTTGGGCTCTATAGGAGCCATCTTGGGTGTCCAGGGGCGATCTTTGAAAGCCCTGGGGCCGTCTTGGACCGATTTGGGAGCCTCTTGGGGCTCCGTGGACACGTCTTGGCCGCCTCTTGAGCACGCCTTGGCCGCCTCTGGGGCTGTCTTGGGCTCCTCTTGGGCCGTGTTGGGAGCCTCTTGGGCCGTCTAGGGGCCGTCGTGGGGGGCCTCTTGTACCCTCGTGCACGCCATGAAGACCGAAAAGACGTAGATGCTGAAAGTGCACGCTTTCCGATGCAAAATCAATGATTTTGCCCGCTTGGGGCTCTCTTGGCAAGCAACTTGGGGCGTTGTAGCGGCTTCTTGGGCTCAATGGGAGCCAACTTGAGCGTCCAGGGGCGATCTTTGAGCGCCCCGGGGCCGTCTGGGACCGTTTGGGGGGCCACTTGCGCCTCCCTGGGCACGTCTTGGCCGCCCCTTGGCCCGGACAGGAGCGCTCCCGGAGCCCCGGGTCGGCCATGGGGGACGCAAGTACCGGCCTGGCGGGCCCGATCCCCTTCCGCCGGCATATATATATATATATATATATATATATATATATATATGCATATAGATACATCCATATATATATGCACACATATATCTATATGCATATATATAGACATATATATATATATATATATATATACACATATACGTTTATACCTACAAACAAGCAATCAAACAAACTAACAACCATACATACATACATACATACATACATACATACATACATACATACATACATACATACATACATACATACATACATACATACATACATACCCACATACATGCATACATACATACATACATACATGCATGCATGCATGCATGCATGCATGCATACATACACATAACTATGTATGCTGTTCCCTGCGGGTTTCGCGGGGCTCATCCCCCATCCCCGCCTGGGGTGGTGGGCTGGCGGTGCTGCGAAGTCGGGGGCGC